ATTTTTAATATTTTTTAACCACTATTGTAATAATATATAAGAAGCATAGTATTAATTTCAAGCTTTTTTACCCAACAAAAAAAAGTTTTATTGACATTTAAAAAAAAAAAACCTAAAAAAGTTGGAAACTAAGTATATCCGTAAACAGCTCAAATCAAGTCAAAATACTTTGAAAATTGTATCAAATATAGAAAGGGTTAATATAAACAAMCAGTGAAGATTTCATGTATCTACGGACATTTTTTTTAGAATTACACCAAAAACCGAAATCGATTTTGACCAAAATCGGGTTTGCTTAAAAATGCCCGTTTTTTCCTTAATTTTTCATTTGTTTTTGGCGGCGATTTTGAAAACTACTGGGAAATTTTTACTTTTGACCCCTCAAAGTACCATTTATGTTCACTTTCCTACCAGAAAAGATACTGTTGAAAAAAATCTAAGCATTTTTACTATCCTAAAACGAGATGACAGACACAAAAAAAATAAAAAACACACATCATTGTAAAATCAATAATATATTCATCGCTCCGCTCAGAATCTAAAAAAAGTATTTGAATACATATTTATATTATTTCATTTATTCGAATACTTAAAAATTTTAAAAAACTGAACTGCAGTCTGCAAGCATAAAACGTTATTTTCTATTGGGAATAATAAAAATCTAGCCCATTTGACTAGCAGCACTCGGTGGTTTTATTCTTGCAAATTTAATCAATTATTGATTAAAAAAAAATAAATAATCATAATATTTTAAATAATAATCGTCAAATTATAACGAGTAACGACTATAATTAATTGTGTGTATACAGTCTATGGGGGGGGGATTGATCCCCTTGATCACCCCCCGTAAATACGCCACTGAGCTAAGTGGCTCATAACAAGACGTCCACGACAATTAAATGTTGTAAAGTTTTTATACTTATTTAATACACACAATAATATATAATATACTTTTTATTAATAAAACCTTTTAAACATTTTTAAACACTTAATATAATCAATTGATTGTATATCGAATTTAAAATAAAATTATAATACTAAGTAAAGCAGAAACGAAGTTTCCCCGTAAGAAAAATAAATTAAAAACATATAGATATCGTTTATAGTATTTATTTTAATCGAATAAACACGTGAATACTTTAAAGAATCGTACAGGTAAAATAAAATAGTTATTGAATGATATCAATAATATCATAATTGTTTTCTTTGTAAATAATTAATTTAATTTATAATTAGGGTTTGAAAGTGATATTTTTTTAATTATTTATATGACAAGTTACAGATTGAAATAATTGTAATAATTCCAATTTTTTAACTGTAAAAGAAGGTCTTTTCAAAAATAAAAATAAGTAACTTTAATCAGTCGATATTAGATCTATATGTGATATCTTATTTACTTGTCGACGACAAATAGGACAGTTATTTATATTTTGTTTGGTCATTTTTACAACGCACGACGAGCAAAATTTATGTTTACACGGTAAAAACTTGACACAAACACATTTATCATAACAAATAATGCAACAGCATTCTMTAGATGAATCTCTTGCTCTGCAATTGTTAATGGCTGGTCCCCGGCCTAAAATGAAATGAAATGTTTTATATAAATTTATAAATTATAGCATGTAGTCTTATAAAATATAATATTGATAAATAATTCGTTATTATAAATATTTTAATAGAAAATTATGAAATATGAAAAATATCCAGACAGTGGATCCAAAGTCACTAGATATTTCTTTTTAAAATTAAATGTTTATCATTTTAGGAGAACATTTTTTAATATTTCTGTATTAAGAAAGCATAGGTGTGCACAGACTTTTCCTCGAGCTCACATTAAAAAAGTCTGTACCAATTACCAAAGATTTTTGTACTAATGACTACTAGTCTRGTTTAACATAAAATTGTAAATTTTATAAATTATCAATTAATTTAATTCAATATGCAAAAATAAAAATAATATGGTATAGTATAGATATGAAAAAGACGGAGGCCGCAGGCTACCCATCCCCTCCCACGCACACGCCTATGGGAGCAAGTTTTCCCAATTGTAACACTGGGTTCAGTTCTATTGTTCGAATTATTAGTATCATGTTCTTTACCTTGGTTCATTTTTCTGTTGACACTACTTTTGTCTTTACTGCAAACCGTGATCTTAATCGACTCTTCCAATCGCTTTCTCGATATCTGGATTATTATAAAGAAAAAGCATACAATTTTTWAAAAAATAGGTAATCGATACTTCCAAACAATAAATTGTATTAATTAGGTATATAATGTATCAACGATTTTTCATTTTCGATAGGTTCTAAAGGCCAAGCCTTGTAGTCATTCTTACTCATACACGATCAATTTTAAATTTTTTTATTTTAACTTAAATAAAATAGAGGAATTCAACCATTTAATTAAGTGGCGGTGTCCTTTTATTAGACCGAATTTAGTTATGGTGCCCTCACGTAAACACCATGAGGAACATGATAAAAATGGACACAAGTTAACTTATTAATAGCTGATTTAAATTATTTTATTTTATTATTATAAATAAATAACAAAATATAGTTGGATGTAAAGAAAACAAATTTTAAGACAGAAAACTGCTTTAAAAGTAAAAAAATACCCAGCYCKTACAAACCCTCGTATAATAATTTTAGCTGAATTCTTTGTTGTCGGTCATAACTTTAAGATTTAATTATTTTTCACTTTCAAATTACAGTTATAAATATAATATGTTATAAATTATAATATACTACCTACTACCTAACTATCCAAAAGATTTAGAGCTTAGAAAGTGGACGATAATAAATTATACTCCACTCACAATAGAAATCCGTGCTGAGACGTGTGACGGTATGTTCAAATACAGATAAAACGCTTAGGATTTTAAATTATTATTCACAGTTACGTCGACGTTCTAATTTTCATGACGCTTGCCTGGCGATTGAAACGTTCGTACGGAATAATAATACTAGTGAGTAGCAGCGCCCGGGATAATAATAATAAAGTCGACGATGGCACACGAATGGTGCGCAGTGCGCACGATCGTGGCTTTGCCAATGTGATCGAAAAATAGGCTACCCTTACCACCCCCAAGCAGTCACCCAACAAGTCAATAGCCGATACCAACAGCTGTTGCTTTCAAGTTTCATTAATATTCATCGTTTTGAAATTTTGTATAGGGTTTAATAGTGATAAGTTATCTGTCACTGATAACTGATAAGAATGATAAGATAGTAGATTAAAATAAAATAAACCATTGAGGTTTACACAATTAACGTCCACAATCGAATGATTGCAGGGTCGGATCCAGAAATTTTCTAAGGGGGGGGGGCGGACAATTCGAGGAAATTTATTTAAATTGATCTTC